CTGATGTGGCTGTGTTCAAGAGGAGGTCAGAATCTGCTTCCAAGGCTGATACATGCACAAAATTTTCCATTAATTGCAACACTGCAACTTCCCCAAGACATCATGTTGTGAGAATGTTAAAAAGAAACAACCCCCCCACCAAAAAAAAAACCACCAAAGCAAAAAAAGAACAACCCCAAACTCTGAAAAATATAAAACTGAATTTGTCAGCAAAACACTAAACTGTTAGAAATCATTGTGAGAGTTTGGGGATTGCTTGTATTTGTATTATTTTAGCAATTCAGTCTGTAAGTTTAAAAGGAAAAGGGACTTGGCAGACGAGCTCAATAACAGGCTTGGAGAATAAGACCTTGTGGGCTGAGTTTCATGCTAACAGGAAACTGCTCAGTCTGGATTTAATCAAGAGGCCATCTCTTCACTGACACAACCAGGCTACCCAAAGGCAAAGGAGTTTTTATGGGGTTTTGTGCTCTCTGCTCAGAGGAACAATTTATCTACTGCCATTAAAAGATGCTCCTGAAGCTCTTTGCAGTTTTTGACAGTGGCACACGGTGACCACTGTTAGTCATACCAAGAAATGCCACCAGCTTGGCATTGTTTTGTGCATCAAAACAACAAAAAAAGGCTCTCCAGCTCCTATTTGTCTCCTTCAGCACCGTGTCCAGCAGTCTAACAGAGATGCTGAACCCCGCATCTCAGGGCTTCAGCAACATTTCCTTGGTCCTTTACCATAAACAGATACGGCATTTTATAGTCTGATTTACACTTTTTAACAGCTCACTTTGATTTTTCAGGCAACAGATCAGAGCTTTGATAATCTGCAAGTGCAAATGATGAGCAAGTAGCTTCCTACAAGACTGACAGTCTTTCAAAAGCAAATGTAAAAAGGTTGAATGGAGGGATATCCCTGCACATCCTTATTTTTTGCTGTTGTGCATGTACTGATCTAGTGGAATTCCAACATCTTTACTAACCCTTGGCAATGCTGCACCTTCAGAGGGGCCCACTCTCTTTTAAGGTGATCATCTTACAGCTATACAGCACAAAACATTACCTACATACACAGTTCTTGCTGAAACAGGAGAGCTCCACGCAGACTGAAACACATCCAGGCTGAAAAAACTTCCTGCAAACACTACCTGTTAACCTTCAATGGGATTATAAATTAATTATAAACTCCGTCATCTCCTAAAATAATGTTACGCCCTAGCAAGAGGGATTAGAGACTCAAGGTAAAAAGGAAAGTTAAAACTCCAATCAGCACAAAAACAGAGACTGCCCAAATAAAGACATACAGAACTGTAGTCATTATTTCAGAAATGTCACTGGAAACAATCATTTTTACCCAGAAAACCACTGTTCTGCAAGTTTTCTCCAGTGCAAATATTATCTGTTGAGATTCTGAAAATGTGAACCGTGGAATGAAATCAAGGTAATTGTTTTTTATTAGGCAGACTGGAAAAAAATACTAAAACAACTGGGGTGAACAATAAATGAGATATCACATCTTCTTCATACTCAGTCATTTGAAACATTACCACTCGACCAAAGACTTGTTTTATTCAGATATTCTGCAGCTATTTTCAAGAACACCTAGCTAACTCTTAAACTCCATTTTTACTGATTTTGACAGATTTTAAATGCTTTTCACTTTCCTTGAAACTTACAGCTTTTCCAGATGGAGAGTTTTCCACTCGGGTTTTAGTAACTTACTGGACAGGCACCCCATGCTGGAATAAAAGTGCCTGAAGTACACTTTACCTTTTAAGTTAACTCAAAATAAGGCACTCTAATCAAGAATTTAACTCTTTGTCTAAATGTGATTCTGCGTTAACCTTCTGAAAGTAGAAGCAAGATACTCTTATTTTTTCATGTTGCTTCCTCACACACAGGTTCACCAACAAATATCCTTAATATCTACACTCATCCTTGGGGGAAGTAAAAAAAAATAAAAACAAAAGGAAAAAAGAAATCAAATTATGGGATGACTGAGCTTGAAATATTAACAACTTATTTGACATAGTGTTTCCTTCCAACAAAGCCCTTAATGAACTTTATAACTGAGCCTGCTCCCTTTTAAGGGGAAGAAAGCAGGATTGTCCCGTAGGTGTATTGACAGATAAAACCCACAGCAGCTGACAATCATGCTGGACTGACTCAAACTCACACCACATGACCACTAAATAAAAAAAAAAAACAAACTGTGAAAAGTGGTAATTTTGCCCTAACAATTCCACATAGCAGTGACCAGACTAATCTTATCAAACAGTCACAAGAATTTCAAGTGGTTTTGGGGCAGGCCACGGCTGTACACACCCCTCCTGCCACCAGTTCTGCGATCCTGGAAGTATTTAAGAGCCCTGCATCCCACCACTGTCCTCTCTGTCCTTGTCCCCTGCTCTACTGAACTTCCAGCCTAGAAAACAGCTTGTATGAGATAAGACTGAATTTGAAGCAGAATTTCCAGCCTTGGGAAGTGTGGCTCGCAGTGCAGGGCCTGCAGTGCAGACCTGCCTTCCCAAGGGCAGCTGCTTTTATCCTGCAGTGTACTTGGAATTAAAATGAAATAAAATTACTCCAGAACTCTCTCCATTTCACTAACTCCCATTTCCCCATTTTGGATACTGATGAAACAAAGAAAAATCAGAATTCTGCATGTTGACTGCACCAAACTCAGAAGCCAAAATAACATCATGAGCTCCTTCCTATGCTCCAACAACAAGGGGTATTCCCGGATTTCCAAAGCTCCACCCTTTTCCTTTCCTTCCTTACCACATAAATAACCATTCTTGGCAGCAACCCAGAGTTTCCAGGACCAATTAATTCCATGATCATCACACAAAAGGCATTCTCATTTTCTCCTCAGAGCTCACAGCCTGGCTGGTATCTGTCTGAAGCACTGGCAAACAGTAATAAAAGCTGGGGGGCAGATTTAGGGGAAAAAGGAAAAGGAAAAAGAAAAAAGCCTCTTATAGAAATGCTGTTGCTCAGTTAGAACCCTTTCACTCCAGCACATTGCAGCTCCTTGAAGCCACTCTGAAGAAAATAGGAAACATTCCATAGTGCTGAGCTATGCATTCTCACACCTTCTGAAGGGATGCAAATTTAGACTCATTTGGGTATCAGTGAATTATGTGGGACTAGCTCTAAATGAATCAAAGCAAAAGTAAAGAAGCCTAATTTACACATCACCTCTCCCTGCATGCATCTAAAGGAGTTTGAGCAAGTGCATTAAGAAATTGAATCTTCAAAGAGGTCTAGGTTAAAATGGCATTGTGCAGCTCTTACAAATGGTGGAGCTTATCCAGCCATGGGAACACAGAAATTCCTGCTCTGAATTTACCCACTTAGAAGCATCTGTGCAGGAAAGGAATGTAGCTGTATTATTCAGTGAGAATTCAAGTCGTCCAAGAGGTTCACT